AAACATCCCACAAACCAAGCACAATGATAAGTAAGAGTTCGGTTCACAAAGAACTGGATATGAATGCTAAGGATCTTAACGCTTAAGCAAATTCGAAGTCTTTAGTGATTTGGGGGTTCGTCAAGTAGACAAACAAACTATAGCTCTAATTCAATGGATTAAAGACACTAGGGAGTGGGATCCACTCAACCATGGTAATTAGGCAAATTAGGAGTAAAATAGACAAGAGATAGCAAAGACTATATGCAAGATCAACCTTTTGCAATTAGGAAACAACTCACACTACTAAACTTATATTATTCCTCATTAGTTTAGCAATAGATGTTACATAATCAAATTGCAATAAGTAATGTCATACTCAATTCACATTTCCATGTCAAACTAAGCATATCATGCTATCGAGTTCCTAAATCAAGTGTAGCTAATCCTATCATGAAAAACTAACAAGCAATCTCATACAATCAATTTAATTCTAAATCAAACATCAAAACTTTTCCCAAGTTTACATAACTAACCATTAGGTTGAGTTTCACCCAACCACTAGCAGAGAAGACTACTCACAACTCATCTTAAGTGACTTGCAAACAAGGGTTAGGGTTCTAACTACTTCAATAATTGGGGAAAAGTGATTAACTAATGATAAAACTGTCATCCAACAACAAATTATCAAGAACTAAAGAGACTTAACTCACATGCAATGCCAAAATAAAATCAAGAATTAAGTAGAGAAAAGTAGAAGAAAGTTACTAATTGAAGCTTCAAATGTTGAGTACAAAGTATTGAAACTTGAGAATAATCCTTGAAACCAACTATTACAATGATTAATTTGAGGAAAACTAAGCTAAATTATCAAAGTGGATTGTTTCAAACTAAGAGGAGATGCTGAAAACTATACTATTGTTATGGAACCGTTGGTAATTATTCAAATTTCCTACGGCTTAAAGCCATCGGAAATTTCCTTTGGCCAAATGCCATAGGAAAATTCCTGTAATTCCAATAGCTTAAACATATGAATATCCTTTTGTTTCCTTTTATTATAACCTGCACAAAGTGACCTGTTTTTGGCAAACCTAAGTATATAAAATAATAATTTAATATAGAAAAGTGTAAATATGCATAATAGGTTCATAAATTAGATTAGATTAGATTAGAGTAGATTGGTTATATACAAAGTGCTAATACTAATGTTGCTCGATAAGTTATATATACACACTTTGTTCCCTTCCCTTTCCTTCCTCTTTTAGTCTGGCGTGCCCCCTTCCCGCCGGCGTCCGGCACACCCTTCTCGCCGGCGTCCGACACACCCTCCCCGCCGGCATCAGGCCTCTCCTTTGGTGTAATATGTTCTTTGAGTTTGATCATTATATTTTTTGGATATGAACTTTATGTTTTTTACACCATAAACTATGTTGTTTACGTACTATAGTTATATGTTGGTTAACAAAGTTTTTTAAAGTATATTATTTTACTTGAATAATAAATTCTTCTGTGCTCACGTTTATGTGTTTTAGTATCTACGTTATATGAATTTATCTCTATTTTTTATATTTTGACCTTATATTTTCAATATCGATTATTAAATCTATATTTTTGTATATTAATTAGGAAAAATTGAGTTTATAAATCCCAACTTTGGGCGATTTACTATGAAAAATCCCAACTATGCATTATCCTTTAAAAATCCTAACTTTGATACCCATTTTCTTTTAAAGACCCCAACAGGTCACCAAACCTGTTACTTCAGGTTACAATCCACGTGTCAACACAGGATTGGTCAAAAAATAATTAAAAAAAAAAATAATTAAAAACTAATTAAAAAAAATCAAAACAGCAACCCCACCCATCCCGGAAAACACCCTACCCGCACCCTACCCTCGCCGGATTTTTCGCCCCCATCCCCGATAACCCCCTCCCCGTCGTTGGAATCCGACGACCAACCCTCCCCCACCTTCGAAACCTACCCCTTTCCCTCCCCCCACCCTCGCGCGAAACCCTCCCACCATAAACCGAAAAAAACCCCTCTCCTAACCCTGGCCCCACCTTCGAAAACGCCCCCTTCCCCTTCCCCCATTGTTGGTCGATTTCAGGGGTGGGGGAAGGGAGAGGGGGGCGATTTCGAGGGTGGGGGTTTTGGGAGGGGATTTTTCGGTTAGGGTGGGAGGGGTTTCGCGAGGGAGGGGGGAGGGAAAGGGGTGGGTTTCAAGGGTGGGGGAGGGTTTTTTGCCGGATTCCGGCGACGGGGAGGGGTTATCGGGGGTGGGGGTTGGGGTGGGGGAGGGTGGGTGCCGTTTCCCGGAGGCGGAGGGAAAGGTTTTCAGGGATGGGGGGAGATTTCTCGACGGGGTGGGGTGGGGGTGAAGAGTTTTCCGGGGTGGGGGCGGGGGGCTGGGTTGTTTTTTTTTTTTTTTAATTTGAATAAATCAGATTTTTTTAAAAAAAAAAATTAATTTTATTTTTTGGACCACTAAAATTTTGATAAGTGGTAATTTTTTTTGTAGAAAAAATGAGTTAACCTTCCTTTAGGTAACCGGTCATCTGGGATCTTTAAAAGAAGATGGGTATCAAAGTTGGGATTTTTTTAGGGATAACACATATTTGGGATTTTTCATAGTAAACCGCCAAAAGTTGGTATTTATAAACTCAATTTTTCCTATTAATTATCATCTAATTGTGTTTGCTTTTTTTTCAAAAAAAAAAAAAAAAATCAGGATCACTTATTATTTTAAGACTACCTCTATTTTAAGACAATATTATTTTAAGACGACCTCTATTTGTAATTGATTTTAAGATCTAAAGAACATGATGATATGTAGTGACCATTATTTATAATAAAAAAAAAAACAAAATTCAAAAAATATTCCACAATAAATAAAGAACGTTATGGGATTGTAAAAATACATTAAATAATAAGAAAAGCATATGGACAATTAAAATAGTTTACCAAAAGATCCAATAAAGATAATGTGGAAAGTTGTTAGAGATATGAGATATCAGAAAATATATATGTGATATATTTTTCGTAGATATGAGAATAATATATTTAGGTTTACTTTATGTTAAGATATTATTTAGAGAATATATTTTTAGGATTTATGACTATGATAGTATATCTTTTAGGATCTTTGTTTCCTATCTTATAAGCGTAGGTTTAATGAATAATAATAATAAACTACTACAAAATCGGCATAACGAATCACATAAAAGAGACCCCTTTTATCAAATAAGTGGTTCCTTAATAAAAGAGACCTTATATTGAAGAAAAGGGTCTCTTTGATTGGGATGTAAGAAACCACTTTTTAGGAAAAGTAGTCTCTTATTATGTGATCCATCTATGTTCATTCATAACAAAAAAAAAACGAATTATTTTTATACAAGCGTAAAACTACGATATACCCGTGCATTTTTTTTTTCTACTAAAATTATATCAAAGAGACCCCTTTTCTGCCAAAAAGAGGTTTTTTAAAGTCATATCAAAGAAACCCCTTTTATAACAAAAGTGGTTCCTTATGTTTCTAACTAAATTAATCTGCATAGTAATAAAGAGACCCCTTTTCAAAATAAGTGGTCTTTTATAAATATTAAGAAACCCCCTTCAAAAAGGGATCTCTTAACCTAAGAGGTCTCTAGCCTTAATACCCCCTCTCATGAGGTCTCTTATGTGGATTTTAGGGGGTTTCTTATGGGATTTTTGTAGTAGTGATAATAAAGTCATTCTATTATCTCTTTAACCCTAATTTGTCATGGTATCAAGAGCAGATTAGATCTTGGGGTCGTTAATAAGAGTTCCCCCACTAGTGGATTAGAAGTTAAACCCGCCGGTGGGATAAACTTTTAGCAAAAAATTACAATTTTTTTCCTAATTTATTTCTGTTGTGCATGTTTATTCGTGTGTGTTGGTGATGAGTTTGAGTTGATGACTTGGTGTAATTATAAATTACATCATGCGTGGTTTATAATTATTGATTGAGATTAAGTTTTTTTGGTGTGTGTCATGGTGTGGATCCTCAAAGATGAAAATTGGGGGAGGCACATACATGAGTTTTTCAGAAAAAAAAAAAAAAAAAGGATTTTATTGGCTCTCTTGTGTCGTGAGACAAGATATGTTGGTTCCTCCATGACATCAAGGTAGGTGGTGTGGCGTGACTCCTCTAGTAACTTCTCTATGCTATTGATGTCAGTTAGCGGTGCTCCTCCGTGGCTCCAAGACGGATGTCGGTTCAAGATATAGGAAATAATCCCTTGCCCTTCTCATTATTAGAAAGTTTTTAAATACATAGATTACAAAACACTAAGCTAGGTTAATAATAAATACAATATGTAAAAGACGAGTGAACCTAGGAAATTACAAGAGGAGAAGGGGAGTGAACATCGTAAATACAAGAGTATTTACACAATCTAATACACCCCCACAGTCGAAGCGGGAGGCTTGTGAACGCTAAGACTGTTTCTAAAGTCATCGAAAAGGAGTTGCGGAAGACCTTTGGTGAAAATGTTCGCAATTTGATATCGAGAAGGAACATGAAGCACACGAACTTATCAAGAGCAACCTTTTCACGAACAAAATGGATGTCCATTTCAATGTGCTTGGTACGTTGATGTTGAACCGGGTTGCCGGAGAGATAAACGGCACTAATATTGTCACAATACACAACTGTAGCTTTCTTAATGGGGCAGTAGAGTTCAAGGAGAAGGTTGCAAAGCCAACATGATTCGGCGACGACATTCGCAACACCCCGATATTTGGCCTTCGCACTTGACTTGGAGAGAGTGGGCTGCCTTTTGGCGGACCATGAGATCAAGTTATCACCGAGGAAAACGCAATAACCCGAGGTTGAGCGGCGTGTATCGGGGCAGCCACCCCAGTCGGCATCGGAGTACGAAATGAGGCTGGAAATGTGGGAGGCGTAAAGATGCAGAATGAAAGAAAGTGTACCTTGGAGGCACCTCAAAATGCGGCGGAGAGCATGCATGTGTTCTTGTCTTGGGTCGTGCATATACAATCAAATTTGTTGTACTGCGTAGGAGATATCCGGGCGGGTGAAAGTGAGATATTGGAGAGCTCCGGCAAGACTTCGATATAAAGATGGATCATCAACGGGGGAACTGGAGGTTGAGCTCAGTTTTGCTTTAGTATCAACAAGAGTGGCGGATGATTTGCACGAGGACATGTTAGCACGTGCAATAATATCGGCAGCATATGATTTTTGAGAAAGAAAGAGCCCATTAGAATGCCGAGTGACCGATATACCAAGAAAGGAACTCAACGGTCCAAGGTCGGTCATGGAAAATTCGGAGCTAAGCCGAGTCATGATGGAGTGTCGTAGAGCGTCGGAAGAGGTAGTGAGCACAATGTCATCGACATAGAGGAGAATGTATGCCAATTCTTTGCCATGAGAATAGATGAATAAGGAGTTGTCTGACATGCTATGAGAGAACCCAATGGTAGCCACAAAGGAAGAAAAACGATGATACCAAGCCCGAGGAGCTTGTTTGAGGCCGTAAAGAGCCTTTTTGAGGAGACAAACATGACTCGGATTGTCTTTGTCACGGAGGCCTGGAGGTTGGTGCATGTAAACTGTTTCCGCAATATCACCATTTAAGAAAGCATTTTTGACATCCATTTGGTGAATGGACCAAGACTTGGAGAGAGCAATGCTTAGAACAGTGCAAATAGTTTTCGGTTTTACAACCGGACTAAAAGTCTCATCACAATCGATACCAACCTGTTGATTCCTGCCATTTACCACAAGACGGGCTTTGTGCCTCTCAAAAACACCGTTAGCATTCTTTTTATGTTTAAAAATCCACATACAAGGAATGACATTGACATTAGGAGGACGGGGCACCAACTCCCACGTCTTAGTTTTAATAAGAGCGTTAAATTCATCCATCATGGCATTTTTCCAATTCGGGTCGGAAAGGGCGACTATGGGGTTACGAGGTAGAGGGGAGGGAGTGGTTTGGCAATTTAAATCAAAAATAATTTTAGGTTTAAATATACCATGAGAGCTACGAGTTTGGACTTGTAGAGGGGGAGGAGGAGGCTTGCTGATCTGCTGGGCCGGAGGAGAGCCGTGAGAAGTGGGCTGGGAGTTGGAGCGGATTGGAGAGAGTGGGCCGCTGGAAGATGTAGCAGGAAAGGAGCCAAACATGAGGGGATTTTGGTGGGCGCGTGTGGGCCTGGTGGAAGGAGAGCCCGTAGTGGGAGATGGGGGAGTCCTTTCTGGCGAACCAAAAATTGGAGAAGTGGGTTGGAGTGAGTGGGAGCCCACTAAGGGAGATGGTGGGGACCTTGCTGGTGAACCAAAAAAGGGAGGAGAATGGGCCATAGTGGACTGGGTCGCTGAGTTAGGGAGGGGAGTTTGTATTTGGGCAATAGCTTGAGGAGTAGGTGGATTGTAGAATTGTTGGAGTACGGTGGGGGAAATGCCATCATCTAGGAAATCATAATCTGTTGGTTTTGGAGTGTGAATTTTTGCAAAGGGAAATTGTGTTTCGTCAAAGACCACATGGCGAGAGATAATGATTTTCCGGCTAGAGATGTCGTAGCACTTGTAACCACGGTGATTGGGGGGATACCCTAAGAAAACACATGGGGTAGACCGGGGTTGGAGTTTGTTGATAGTAGTGGAGGGGAGAAGAGGGTAGCAAAGACACCCAAAAACCCGAAGATGAGAGTATGAAGGGTCTTGTTGGTAGAGAATTTTTGTTGGTGAGTCATAAGCTAGAAGTTTGGTGGGGAGAATGTTATGGAGATAAGTGGCCATTTGGAGAGCATGGTGCCAAAAGGAAGGTGGGACGGAAGAATGAGCTAGAAGAGTACGTATCATATTGTTGATAGTACGGATTTTCCTTTCGGCCTTCCCATTTTGAGAGGAAGTGTGAAGACATGAGAAACGAAACACCATTCCATGAGAGAGACAAAAATTTCGGAAAACATCATTATCATATTCACCACCATTATCACACTGAAAACATTTCACATCACGTTCAAATTGAGTATGAGCAAAGGCATTTAATTGCAAAAATAGATCATGCACTTGGGATTTTCGAGCAATAGGAAATGTCCAAAGGAAATTAGTGAAATCATCCAAGAAGAGCACATAGTAATGATGTCCGGCACTACTAAGTTTAGGAGAAGTCCATATGTCACTATGCAAAATGTCAAATGGCAAAGTAGTACAAGTAGTAGAGGGATAAAAGGGAAGTTTCACACGTTTTCCAAAAATACAAGAACAACACACAGTAGATTGTGAAATCCTATTACAATGAATAAAATGTTTCTTCTTGAGGGAAGTCAAAACTTGTGTCCCGGGGTGACCAAGACGATCATGCCATAAAGAGGATGAGAGGGCAGCAAGGGTGATGGGAGAGGAATGGAGATTGGCGGTGTGGTGGAGAGGGTAAAGCTCCCCCGAGCTATCACATCTCATACGGGTGGTCCCTGTCCGAAGGTTCTTCACAAAAAAACCAAACGGATCAAATTCTATGGAAACATTATTATCACTAGTGAACGCTTACGGACAAAAATCAGATTTTTTATGAGGTGAGGGCATGAATGACATTATTTAAGGTGAAGGGAGGGAGGGAAACATGCCCATAACCATGAATTTGAATGCCACTACCATTTCCAACAATAATATTGTGATGATTTTTGCTCAAATTAAAATAAGACGAGAGGTTACCTTGGTTTGATGTCATGTGAGAGGTAGCCCCGGTATCCATGTACCAATTTTCATCGGGTGGAGTGAGAGAGAGAGTGTGGAGGGAAGCCTCAACATCTGTGGGAGTGTAGCCAACCGAAGAGGGAGCTTGCATGGAAAAAGCACGCTGCTGCTGTTGTTGTGGCCGTGGGCCGAGAATTCCACCATGTTGGGGTCTGGGCCCAGATGAGGGACGAGCCCAAGGAGTAGTTGGGTATGGGCAGGGAGGCATAGCCCAAGGGGGAGAAGCCCAACTACTCCAAGGGGGGTACTGCCAAGCAGGGGAGTTACCCCACTGCCAACCCGAAGACGACGATTGCTGGGGTTGTTGTTGAAACCCGCGGCCGCCACCACGGCCTTTCCCATTGCGGATGCCGTTGCCACGACCCTTGGGGTTACCACCGCGGCCACCACCGCGGTTGTTATTTTTTGGAGAGTTGCGCTGATTGTGAGAAGGAGAAGAGTTAACCTTGTGCATTTGGGACGGATTTCCCGCAGCCATCAATGCCGAACCAACAGCGCTGGCCTCATTGGAGGCTTGATTCGCTTGTCTTGATTCCTCAAGAAGAAGCATAGAACAAGCTTTTTGAAAAGAGGTTGGTGGGTCGGACTGTTGAAGCAGGGCAGCCACGTTGTCATAGGCTTTCGGGAGTCCACGAACGAGAGTGATGACAATTCGATGATCGGAAACTTTGGCCCCGACGTTGGCGAGTTGATCCGCAAGCATCTTGATGTGTTGACAATAGGCAGAGATATTGGGAAAATTGTTCAAGTCGACTTGGGAAAATTTGGTTTCGAGTTTGAACTGCTCTATTTGTTTGATTATCTTGAAACACATCCTTCAATCTCCCCCACGCAGCGGCGGCAGTAGAATCAGGTTTGAGGATGGTGTTAAGCAAGTCGTTGGAGATGGTGCTATAAATCCATTGAAGCACAATTGCGTCAAGGCGGCTCCAAAGGTCAGGGTCGGTTGTTGAGAGAGAAGAGGAAGCGTCTTGGTCTGGAGAAGGGAGAATATGTTCGAGAACTTGATGTGCTCGAGCAATAATTTTGAAGAGCTCGACCCACGATATGTATTGAGCACGATCCATGGTGAGGGTAACAGGGATAACGCTTTTGATGTTGTTAACAGTGAAAGCGGGATGGAAGGCGGAAGCTTTTGGGGCTTTAGGAGAATCACCCATGGTGAGCAGAAGACGGGAAAAGGGAAAGAAGAGGAGAGGAAAGCTAGAGAGAGAAATACCTAGCCTGACACCATGCATATAGGAAATAATCCCTTGCCCTTCTCATTATTAGAAAGTGTTTAAATACATAGATTACAAAACACTAAGCTAGGTTAATAATAAATACAATATGTAAAAGGGAAGTGAACCTAGGAAATTACAAGAGGAGAAGGGTAGTGAACATCATAAATACAAGAGTATTTACATAATCTAATACAAGACCTTCGAGTAGCAGCTCTACCATATTGTCCACTGAAATTGACAACATCTCTTCTCTTTGGCTCACAGTTGGATGTACAATGGCAGAAATAGTCTTCACTATGGTCAGTTAACAAGTCTCAACAAGATAATAATGAAAAATTTATATTTAAGAGTTGTGGAGCATTTCATGCATTTTCATTCGGCTGACCTTTCAAGTCTATCTCCAAGGCCCAGTATATCTCATTAGAAAAATAAAAAATAAAAAACAAAAAGGAAATTTTGACAATTACCACCTTCTTTTTATTCCATTTTAGCAATTACCACCTTGTATTTTTTTTTTTGAAAGTTACCACCTTCTATTTTCAAAAATATCAAAAGTTACCACCTTCTTGCCTCCCAACTACCACATGACGTCATTTTGGTCTCATTCTTTCCCTTTCCTCCCTATTTCCCTCACATTTCTCATTCCTAACTCGATTCTGATCCCCCCTTTCACTTTTTTTCCCCCAAACAATAAAAAACATTCAATTCACTCCTCCAAATCAAAATTGACGAACAATTATTGGTGGTTTAATTTGGGAGAAAAAAAGTGAAAGGGGAGATGAGAATCCAAATAAGAATGAGAAATGTGAGGGAAATAGGGAGGGAAGGGAAAGAATGAGCGCAAAATGACGTCATGTGATAGTTGGGGGGCAAGAAGGTGGTAACTTTTGATGTTTTTGAAAGTAGAATGTGGTAATTTTCAAAAAAAAAATACAAGGTGGTAATTTTCAAAAAAAAAAATACAAGGTGGTAATTACTAAAATGGACATAACAGAAGGTGGTAATTGTCAAAATTTCCAAACAAAAAATAAAAAAAAAAAGTTGAAATTTGAATTTTACTGATGGACGTGAACTGCTATATAGGTGCTTAATCAGTTAATCATGATAAGTTAATATCATTGATTAACAACTAAAGGCATGCAGTACATACATTTAAATATTTAATTTGTATGGCAAGTAGCCAGATTTGCTAACTAAAATTAGCTAAATTGGAATTTACAAAATAATAATAATAATTCGAGCCTGATCACGATCAAACACTCTAAAGTCGTGTCCGTGACCGATCTCGAAGGGGGCAATTTGTAGGCACGTAAATTTTATATAAGTGTTGTAATACTCGGGATTTTAAAACATGATCATTATACTCTAATCTATATCATAAGCTTAATTAAATAGTAATTTTTATTTTACCAAGAACGAATGTTTTAGTCTTAATTTTATTTTGAGACTATATTATTTTGAAATTTAATTTTACGAAGGAAAGTTATTTATTTTAAAATGTATTTCAGGTCAGGTAATATTTTTGTATGTTCAATCAAATGATTAAAGATTTGCATCAAATCTATATTTTTACCCGTGAGAGGAAATGACCAAAATGCCCTTGCTCAGAGATAAAGCCCGTTTCCTTTTTCTCTCCACGATCAAGTATTGAGAATTAAATTTAGTGTTGCTTCTTCATTTACTTCTCGTTTAATTTTACATGCCCAAAAACTAAATTTAGCCTAACCATGAGCCTATCCTCTCCAACAAAAAGACAAAGACCACCTCTTAATTTCTTCTTTCTTCACGGTTAAGAATTGAGAAAAATGAGCAAAGTCAGAATTTGCTTCTTTCCCATTTGTTGTTCAATTGTTTCACTAATCTTAACATCCTTTAACAAGTTTATGTTTATCAATCCACATGACAAACTCTATCATTCTTCTTCTTTTAAATTCTAGCAATAATACTCCTTTACGACCGTCTCTTGCTCGAGGAAACTAAGTTAACGGCTCCTCCTACCTCCTCGAGCTTGCTATTATGAATACCCAAAGTAAGTTACTCTTTCTGCTAGTAAATATGGGTATAAGTTTGATTTAATTTTGGGAAAACAACTCTTATTTCTTAAACAAATCATTATGGTAGCATTTGCTTTTAAATAGTCATACTATCATTACTTACGTAGTAATAATACTCATATCTCAAATGAGTTTTTGCTATTATATATTGCTATACTCATTTTTAATTAATACTTGTTTAATATATATCCACTTTTGCTATTAATTAATATGTCCACTTTTGCTATTAATTAATTATTTTGACAATTATCACCTTCTGTTATGTCCATTTTAGCAATTACCACCTTTTTTTTTTTTTTGAAAATTACCACCTTCTATTTTCAAAAACATCAAAAATTACCATCTTCTTACCTCCCAACTACCACATGACGTCATTTTGGGCTCATTCTTTCCCTTTCCTCCCTATTTCCCTCACATTTCTCATTCCTAATTCGATTCTCATCCCCCCTTTCACTTTTTTCCTCCAAACAATCAAAAACACTTCAATTCACTCCTCCAAATCAAAATTGACGAACAATTATTGGTGGTTTGGGGAAAAAAAGTGAAAGGGGAGATGAGAATCCAAATAGGAATGAGAAATGTGAGGGAAATAGGGAGGAAAGGGAAAGAATGGGTCCAAAATATCGTCACGTGGTAGTTGGGGGTAAGAAGGTGGTAACTTTTCATGTTTTTTAAAATAGAAGGTGGTAATTTTCAAAATAAAAAATAGAAGGTGGTAATTGTTAAAATGGACATAACAGAAGGTGGTAATTGTCAAAATATTGTATAAGTTACTTTTCTATTTATATATGTAAAAAAGATTAGTAGTTATAATACTTGTTTTTACTCATATTGAAGTAGTATGCTTATTTCCCTTTTATTAAAAGCTACGAAATATATATTTCTAGAAATAGTTTTTGGTAATTTCATGCTAAATAATATCTAAACTAACAAGGTATATGGTTTTAATCTTTTTCTACTAGTATGAATAGTAGTAGTATCTATTTCATAAATAGTGCCCCTTTTACTCTGAATTATGTAACACTTGTTTTATTCTCTGAAAATAAGTCTATATGTGTTTTTATCAAAGGTTTTGAATTAATAAGTTACTAATGAGTATTTTTATTATTAAGTATGATCGAATAAGTTGAGGAACTACTGATGGAGGTTGAGAGTTCAGATGATTAGTGGAGAATAAGTGAGATAATTAAAGATGATCAAATGAGGTAATCATTATGTCTAGTCCTGTATGTGTAACCATTATGTCTAGCAATTGTGTTCAGTTTCGTATATGTAACTATTGTGTCTAGCAACTGTGTTTAGTTCCGCATGTGTGACAATTATGTCTGATTATTATGAGTGTACGTGTGTAATCTTAATGACATGTTATTGTATCACATGTATGCTCATATGATACCTTTGACATTATATGATTTAAAAGCATGTTATGTGCATATGACATGATATATATATATAGCTCTGATTATATTTGTATTGACGTGCGAGATTATGAGTATGTTTAATGACTGAGTGCGAGATTATGAGTATGTTTAATGACTATTTCAGTCATATGATTTTAGTTGAATGATTTTATGAATATACAATAATGTTTTATTGATCTCTGAATCTCACGAAAGTACGTTATTAATCTATAAATAACTTATTAAATGTTACACAACATGATAAATGAAAGTGAAAGACCTAGTTTGTCTGGCAGTATATGTTATGTTTCGGTCAGACAATGCATGTACCCATGGGGTATCAACCCAACTATGTCAAGCACCTGCTCTATGTTATGGGCACCTGCCCATCACGAAAGACTTTTCCCATGTCATACTATCCAGCGACTAGCATGTCCAACAAAAAAATTACTAATACATGAACTCTATTTAAGGACTTACGATTTATTGAGAGAGAAATTATTTTTATTGTGGAATTACGATTTATTGAGAAATAAATTATTTTTATTTCTAGAAGTTTATAGCCTGGAAGTTGTATTATTTTAAAAGAATATTTTTTTTTATCAAGGAGTATGTTTATTTGTGGGCCCATAACCCACATGTGGTTATAAGATTACCTATATGATTGATTCGCTGCATATGATAAGTAAAGAAGGGCTTATCTATGGTTAATTAATTCCGCTGCGAATGACGAGTTAAGTACGGTCAGGTGACTGATTAAAAGACGGGCGTTATAAGTGTCACATTGGATATTATACGGGTTAAAAGTCAAATTATTGACTTAACGATTTGACTATTAATTTAAATTATTAATTTTGGGTGAAATATATTGAAATAGCCCATTTTATTTACAACCTTCGGTCCAAATTACTCGCAACTTTGGGGTATTACTTGTGAGATATAAAATATTCCAAAGTTGCGAGTAATTTGGACCGGAGGTAGTAATTAAATTATAAAACCGAATATATAAGGTAGACCATCATAAATGGTTTATATGGTCAAGTCCGATTTCTAATGTATGTCTAACCTTAACCCTAGGAATCCCTCACTCTATAAATAGAGCTCTTTCAGTTCATTTGGGAAGGGGGGAGGAAGAGAAAAACCTACACTAGTAGAAAAATACAAAAAGGCAACCCCCAAAAGGCACCGGTTCAGGCCAAACCGGTGCCAAATACCTGCCTAAAAATGGGCGGAATTTCAGACCAAGAGCAATGGCACCGGTTCAACTCAAACGGTGCCAAAAATACAAAGGGCACCGGTTTGAACCGGTGCCACTAAACCGGTTCATCTATATAATTAAAAAAAAACCTGCCCCATATATAACCTAACTCTCCCTCACTCCCTCAGCCGCTCCTCCTTCTCTTTCTCTCTCCTCCTCCTTCTCTCTCCTCCTTCTATCTCTCTTCTCTATTCGCGATCTCATCTCCTTCTCACTCGTTTCCACCACTAAAGGCCACCACCAAGACCAACACCCAAGACCACCAAGAACACCGATTCTAGGTATATGCATGTGGTTTTTGCGGGGTTTTTGGCACCGGTTAACCGGAGCCAAAAACTTTGAAATAATTTTTTGTGGGCCTTTTTGGCACCGGTTTGAACCGGTGCCTTTTTGGCCCCCTTTTTGGCACCCCTCACATTGGCACCGGTTCAAACCGGTGCCTTAGGCCGGGTATGAACCGGTGCCAAATTCATTTTTTCACGTAGTGCTAGAGTAAATAAAGAGATCAAAATACAGAGAAAGCCTCTCATATACTCTAAGTGTCGTTCTACTCTCAACCCCAAGGAAAGAAGGAATTCAAATCATCAAGCACCAATTTAATCGTATTATAATTGAGAGTGATGCATTGAGAATGGGAAAATACAAGTTGATCTGAACAACCGGTATTGTCAATAATAACGACATTGTGTATTTAGTCTTCATTTATTAATTTGATGATATGGCAATTTGTGGACTTTATATTTCGTACGTTAGAAAGGCTTGTAATATAGTATAGTTTCCCATACATTTGCTCGTTCAGGGTAATTCTGAACTGGTTTGTATTGGCTCATTTTCGCAAAGTATCACTATTTTAGCGGAAATTATTGATTTATTACTTTCTCCGTATTTTGATATTTGTTACATTTTGACCAATATATAGCTTTATACAATTTAATTGACTTTAAATAAAATAAGAGGTAGGTAGAATAGTTAGATTATAAAAAATTGCATGTAAAAGAGAGATATTAAGGGTACGGTTAATAGTTTATTGAAAAATAATGAATATGAGAGGGAAAAAATATTAGAAAAAAAAAGAAAGAAAAGGGTAATAGTGAGTGGGTATGGGTAGGGATTATAAGAGGGAAAAAAATATAACACTTAAACTAACTTTTATATGTGGCTGGCTACAAAAGGGTTTTTTTTTTTCTTTATTTTGAGATTTCTGGGTTTAATTAATCGAGTTTTGGATTTAATTGGATTTTTATGGGTTTAATTAATAGATTTTTGGATTTTAATTCTATTGATCTGGGTGTCATTAATCGATTTAAATCTTTTTTCGGATTTTATTTCGATTTTTCTTGGGTTAATTTTCGATTAAAATAATCGTTTTTTGGGCAAATTAATCAAGTTCTGGGTTAATTTTCATGCATGCGTTTTGGGGTTGTTTTCTGGGTTTTGTTTTTAGATTTTGATTTTTTTTTCGATTTTAATTTTTTTTTCTGTGTTTTTTCGATTTCAAGTTTTGATTTTTTTCTGGGTTTGAATTTTTTTTCAATTTTCGGGATTATTATTTGGTTTTGATTTCAATTTTTTCTGGGTATTTTTTCGTTTTTTTTTAATTTTCTGGGTTTTTAACTAATTTTCGATTTTGATTTTTTTTTAATTTTCTAGGTTTTGATTTTCTTCGATTTTCTGGGTTTTAATTTAATTTTTTCTTCATTTTATGGATTTTCTCGATTTTCTGGGTTTTAATTTTTTTTCAATTTTAATTTTTTCGATTTTTTTTTTAATTTTCTGGGTTTTTAACTAATTTTTGCAGCTAATACATTTTAATTGATTTTGTTGGATGAACTAATTGGCGCAGGTATACTATTTGCTTTGCAAGCCCAAAATATTGCACATAATCGAAGAATCAAGAATCAAGAATATTGATTTAGATGTTTGGGTTTTTTTTTATTGTGATGTTGTAATATTTTTTTTATTTATATTGTAGTTCTTTTTTATTTATTTATATGTTGTAATTGTTTAATTTTATAATTCGTATATTTTAATTTTTTCTTGACTATATACTGTAAATTTCGGTTATATTCAATGATATTCGATTAATATGTTGTTGTTCTTATTTATTTTAGTCAATTTGATGTTAAGTGAAAAATGACACCAACAAAAAAAAAATTGATTTTTGCGGGGTTTTTGGCACCGGTTAACCGGTGCCAAAAACTTTGAAATAATTTTTTGTGGGCCTTTTTGGAAACCGGTGCCTTTTTGGCCCCCTTTTTGGCACCCCTCACATTGGCACCGGTTCAAACCGGTGCCTTAGGCCGGGTATGAACCGGTGCCAAATTCATTTTTTCACGTAGTGCTAGAGTAAATAAAGAGATCAAAATACAGAGAAAGCCTCTCATATACTCTAAGTGTCGTTCTACTCTCAACCCCAAGGAAAGAAGGAATTCAAATCATCGAGCACCAATTCAATCTCTACATCAAATAGTCATAGATCGAGATCAAGCCTCGTCGGCCCTCAATAAGAATTCAAGTTAAAGGTCTTAACATCAACAAGAAGTCGAAGGTCTACATCAACATCATCAAGGTTCTACATCAAATCTTCAATCGAGATCAAGCTTCAATGGCCCTCGCTCAAAAATAAAGTCAATCCGTAAATTATGTCAAAGTCAAAGTGGAGATCGAATTAGAGGAGAAAATTAGATATTGTACCCAAAATTCTCAAAATAATAAAATTAACACTTTGTTGCATTTGTTTTGAGTCTATATTTTGTAGATAAAATTTGTGTTTATACCGTGAGACACGGTTTTATACATGGGTTTTCCCTGTGGCGCGACAGGGATTGGTTGTTTCTATGTACCTTGAAACGACATGATTTTGTACCTTAAAATGAGTCAAATGACAAGACTAACATATTATTTTCCTTATACCTTGAAACGACAGGACAAGCAAATTGGTTTCCTTGCACCTTGAGACAACAAGACATTATACCTTGAAATGACAGGGCAAGTATTAAAGAAATATCGAAGGCGACATCAGAGTAAAGCAACTCGATCGACTTCAACAAAGTGAAGATTTTCCAATCGCAACATTCCTGCTACTATCGTTACGATTGCGGGAGGGTATTAGAGATATGAGATATATTATCGAAAAATATATATGTGATATATTTTCTGTAGATATAATATATTTAAGTTTATTTTATATGTTAAAATATTACTTAGAGAATATATTTTTAGGATTTATTATTACTGATCCCATGATATGCACAGTAATTTCTACCATTTATCATTAGTTTAATATTGTGTCTAATTAAAAAAATTTAAATGTAATTGCAAAATGAAATGAAAGTTTTGTAATTACAAAATAAAAAGAAAATTATATCATAATAAATAAATACACTAAACCTTAACGAGTATTACATACACAACTAATAAAAATAATTATGAATTACATACATCAAAAAGTTATATATAGAAAAATATTATTATATAGTATATAATATTTGTATTAAATAAAAGAGTAATATATTTGTGGAATGTGTATAAATAAAATATACTTACTTTATAGGAAGGGATTAATTACAGTATAATACTTCATATTAAATATTCTCTAGGATAAACAACATAACTTTGTCAAAAAAAAAAAAAAAAAGCTTTGGAGGAAATATTTTTAACAAATGGATGACACGTGTCATTTCTGGTTCTCATTTAGTATATAGCTATAAATGGTGGAGTAGTATATTTTTGGAATATTGTTTTCTACTCCCTTCGTTTTTAAATACTTGCTCCACTTTCGTTTTCTTACCCTTTTTAAATACTTGTTTCATTTCCTTATTTGGAAAGCTTTTACAATATTTAATTAATTTCTCTAATTAAATGGACGCAATAATATTAAGCCCATATTCTCTCTCCTTCAATTCTCTTCTTTACTTTTGGTTTCTACAAATTTTTATTCTTTCACCAACCCTACTACCTCCACATTTTATTACTCCTAAAACTCCGCGCATGGAGAAATGGATCAAGTATTTAAAAACGAAGGGAGTATTTTATAAGCGTAAGTTTTGTATAAATACACTATCTATTGATGAATAATAATAGGAAAATTTGTGAGGAAGGTCCTTTTATGAGGTCGACCTTGTGTGGAAGGTCTTTTTATGAAAAAGGTGGCTTGAAAGGTCCTTATATGAACATTGGGTTGCGAGGAGGGTCCTTAGACCAAATTCCGTCATTGACCAATTTTTTTCCGACCAAAAATAATCACATGATATGCACGTGACCACTTAAATGAGGTTTTTTATTTTCCTTTTTCCTTCTTTTCCCTTGATGTCCCTTTTTTCCCCTTTAAATTAAGCTTGGAAACAACAATTAGAATTAGAATTATGGTTGTTATGGTGATTAATTTCACCAGAACCACGTACCGATCTAATTAAAGAACCACCGATCCAAACTAACCAACAACCCCAGATCTACCTATAACCACCAATACTCACTAGAACCGACCACCAACGAAAACCACCCAAAAACCAACACCTCGAACATCCACCCCACTAGAACCCAACCCCACGACCCCCACGAACACCCACCCACCAATAACCGGCGAAAATTAAAGAACGAAGAAGACGATGGGGAAAAGTTCAAGCAACAACACTAAGGTGAGGAGGAAGAAGAGCACGCAGCACCGGCTATGGTTGAATGGCTTTGATTGGCCTTCAATTATAATTTCAGGGATAAGAATTGAAGATTTGGATTAATTTTGTTCTGAAATTAGAGTTTCATAAGGGGGAAATGGGGGAAAGAGGGAAAATCGTGAGAAAAGAGGGGAAAGGAAAAAAATAAAATTAAAAAAAAAAGGGAACTTAAGGGGTCACGTGATTTGCCATGATTTTTAATGGCCGGAAAAAATTGGTCAACGCCGGAATCTGGTCAAAAGGACCCTTCCCGCAACCCAATGTTCATATAAGGACCTTTCGTGCCACTTTTTTTTTCATAAAAGGACCTTCCACACTAGGTCGACCTCGTAAAAGGATCTTCGTCATAAATTTTCCATAATAATAAAGTCATTCCATTATCTCTTTCACACTAACTGTCAAAAGAAAAAAGCCAATATTTAAACAAACAATTAAAAAATTCAATCAAATCTTTAATCAGGATATCGTTGTTAAAAATAAATGAACCATGAATGTATATTTTAGTCGATCCCATGAAATTCTTTAAATTGTATTGTATCAGCTCCCATAACATTCAGTTGCCTACTTGCTTCTCCATGATCATTAATTCAATGTCCTGGACGATGTACGCGTACCATGAATCTAGGTCTGACAACGCTGAAGCCTTATCAATGCGCTCCAAATTGCTAGAAGATTTGGCTTTAATCGTATTATAATTGAGAGTGATGCATTGAGAATGGGAAAATACAAGTTGATCTGATCAACCGGTATTGTCAATAATAACGACATTGTGTATTTAGTCTTCATTTATTAATTTGATGATATGGCAATTTGTGGACTTTATATTTCGTACGTTAGAAAGGCTTGTAATATAGTATAGTTTCCCATACATTTGCTCGTTCAGGGTAATTCTGAACTGGTTTGTATTGGCTCATTTTCGCAAAGTATCACTATTTTAGCGGAAATTATTGATTTATTACTTTCTCCGTATTTTGATATTTGTTACATTTTGACCAATATATAGCTTTATACAATTTAATTGACTTTAAATAAAATAAGAGGTAGGTAGAATAGTTAGATTATAAAAAATTGCATGTAAAAGAGAGATATTAAGGGTACGGTTAATAGTTTATTGAAAAATAATGAATATGAGAGGGAAAAAATATTAGAAAAAAAAAGAAAGAAAAGGGTAATAGTGAGTGGGTATGGGTAGGGATTATAAGAGGGAAAAAAATATAACACTTAAACTAACTTTTATATGTGGCTCGCTACACCGTGTGTCTAGTCACCATGTGATTACTCAGTTAGTGTTATAGGGGTTAATCACTATCAGTTAGGGTTATAGGAATAACTTAGTATTGTAGGGGCTACTCTATCATTATAATAAATGTTACTCTATCAGTGTTATTGGAGCTATTTCGTTTTTTTATAAGTTGCCACATTGTGTGATCAGCTGGGGAAAAAAAGAAAAAAAAAAGTTGAATTTAGAGAACTATTGTAACAAGGAAAATGTTATACATAGCCCTTAGTGCTACATATAAGCATTAAATTTACACTTGAAAATCGTAAAAAGTTAAGAAATCATAAAAATATAAACACTAATTACACTTATTTACGTGTATTTTGTCATGAATTCTTAATTTTATACAATTTCCAAAAGTATATTTAATGCTTATATATAGTCTTAGGATTACATATAACATTATCCTTGTGACAAAGACTCTTTATTTTCCTCAATTTCCTATTGTCGAAAAAGACCAAACCCTATGAAAAAGGAAGATTGTAGAGTGTTGGATAAAGAAACCTTGCTCTGAATAAAAAAGAAATATAAAAAAACACTACAAGAAAATAACCTTTTCGTAGCCATTATTTTAACCTTTAGTATAGATTGTAATTGCAATAAAAAGCTTTCCCAACAAATGGTCATTCGATACAATATCCCCCGTTGCCTTAGCCTTTAGTAGTGGTTTTCAATATCGTTGGGGTTGGCCTCAATAATCGATACGAAAAACTACATCCAATCGTGGTGAATATTGTAGCGATTACAATCGCTATAAATGTTTAACTCATTTTCTTAAAAAAATAAAAATAAAAATAAAAAAACATGTGTATGATCTTTATAAGATTCGAACATGCAATCTCCAAACTCTTATATTAAATGTTTCACCTATAAGCTATGACATATTTTATGTATTCTTTGTCAAACAATATTTATATAACTAGTGTTGGAAAAGCTTTTCGTATCGATTTTTAGGATTTAGTGGCGATTGTAAATGATACGATTTCTCAAAATTATATAAATGTGTAAGAATATTGTGGATATGTATTATTATTTTTTTCGTATCAATTTTATATGGGAAAACCATGGCGATTGTAAAAATGATACGACATCCTTAATTATTTCACAAACATACTTGCATATTGTAGCGAATGTA